AAGGTGGTTGCAATTATTTTCCACACTCGTTCTTTATATTCGGCGTTCTTATACTTTTCGTTGGCCTGGTCGTACAGCACTGGATAATTTCTAATTTCCTCGACCAATTTTTCTACATCCATTTTGATTTACTTAAATACAATATTTGTAATACTATTAAAACTTTTCTTTTTATTTCCTACACCGCACCGTGCCCGTCAAAAAGTAAGCTAAACTAGTCGGGCACGTTGCGCCCTCGGTGAGATGTTGTTGGTGCGGTGTCGTTGCGGTAAGGTGGGGACTACGAGGTGCTTTTGTATTGTATCAGTCTCTCGCCGTGCGTCGTCCAACACAGGGCAATCACACGGTGCGGACACGGTGCGGTTATGTGTGTCTACTCCTTAAAGAGACAGACCCCTTTTGTTGTTGATAATGAACACAGTGCCAAATGTTATGTTCTATATGATGGATAGCTACATTTCATGTTAATCGCACCGTGAATCACCACAAATTTATTATTTGGAATATTCATTATCATTCATTATATTCCAAATAATAGAGGAAACAGAAAAATGAACTAATAATAAGAGAGCATACTCGAATCTCTCAGAAAGTATGGTGTGGCATTTCAAGGTTTGGACTTGCTTCATATTTTTTTATGATCAGTCTATAATGGTATATTAGAATGGTATATTCTTCAACTTTTACTTCTATAAGTCGAATTTACCAAAGAATAAAATATTCGAATCCATTTTCTAAGTAATTTTAACTATAGAATCAAACCACATAGACTCAGGCTCAAAAACTACAGACTCTTGAACCAAAACAAACCTGTTCTTATTAACCATGTTCTTATTGTTTCAGAATCAGATGAGGGTGATGAAGCTTATTCCTATCTTAGAAAGTTTGAAACCTTTGTATTATCAAGAGAGAATGTTCCAGATAAAATTCATAATTCTTTACATTTAATAGAAGATTTTTTCGACAAAGAGCGCTTGTCCACTTTAAGCCAAAAGAGAATTACGGATTACTTTAAAAAACTTGATTAATTTTCTACTTAAAATAGTATTAGGGTTTCTGTTTTAAATATACGTATTAGAAAAGTACATTTCTAATGTTTTTCTTTAGAGCTGAAATTCTACTAATTTTTCTCTAACTCGAATTCTCCATAACTCGAAGTTTTCTTCCGCTCCCTTAGTGATTTAGTGATTTATTCCGAGTTAGGGGAATTTTACTGTACTTGGGAATATCATTCCATTCAGCATTATGAAAAATATAACCAATGTTAAACATTCGGCTCGCTGTTTTCTTTTTTTTTAGATTCAGGATTGTTGGCATCGTCGTCATAAAGGTGAATCCCGTTTTTCTTCATTCGTTGTATACAGGTTGGTTCAGATTTTAATCGGAAAACTTTACATGATCGTAGTAGGGTCGCAATTCTTTTGTTTTTGAGATATGAGCTGTCAAAGTTGAGCCAAAAATTTACATTTTATCTTTTATTTCAAACATAATTAATCAAGGGGGTGGTGAATTTCATCCCCTTAGAGGGCGCTAGGGAAATTTACGGTTTGCTTGAAAATAAGGTCTTAACCAGTAGTAAATACGTACAGAGTTTCAAATTCTACTGTTTACTTACAGCCGAAACACAAAACAAAACGTAAATTTTTGGTCGCTCATAGCTTGAAAACAAACGAGTTGCGACCCTACGTTTATATAAAAAACTTGTGTTATTTTGGCGTTATTTACTACGTCCTAGTAAAGTTTCCCGATTAGAAACTGAACCAACCTGTATATGATACTAAAGTATTCCCATCATTGAAGTCAAACATGCTAATGTCTTGTTTCCTTCCCTTTACTACAATAAATTCTGGGGGCAACTGCGTTTTACTTTTCTCATACTTCCGAGATATTGTCACCTGAGAATTATTTTGCACCAAGTCCCTTACGCAAGGCAGTAATTTGGATCTAAAAGTTAGCCAATCGTTTTTCTTTCGTGGTTTTGACAAAAGGCTGTCTAATTCATGTTAAGATATTAATGGCAAAAATAACGGTATTAAAAGTTTGCTACAAATAATAGTTGTTTATATTACAAGTGGGCTAGAAACATAATTACTGTACGAGTGTGGAGAATTGCACGACGAGTTCGTAGACCGAGTTGTGTAATCACACATTTCAATAAATTAAGTCTATTCTGATTGGGCTAAAAATGCGTTACGTAATGAAACCAGTGCGGTAATGAACTTCATTACGTAACTCAAATCACCTCAAATGAGTGTAGTAATGATGACTTATCCAAGCAGTCGTAGATAAACAGTATTTTGATGTTTATAGAAAGGACATGGTTTAATATCCCTTATCAAAATTTTTCAAAACGCATTTACTGCAAAACTGTGTGAACCATATCCGTGTGAAAAAACGCGTTTAAAACGGAAACGATCCTAATTGTATACAAAGTATTTCTTTATTGTAATTACTAATTACATAGTCAATTAATAATAATAATATGTACACTTGATAAAATGTTTGTATTTCTAATATTTGCCTTTTTCGTTACATCCAACGACGGCATTTTTGAAATGCATTTTACATTTTAATAAAGTAGTCTATACAGGTGATTTATTAGCTCACCATCAAACTTTGACATATGATAGCTAATCCAATTACCAAAAAAAAATGTTAATGAACATATGTCCTATTTCTATTATTTACGAAATTATAACACTTTAAAGATTTAATTTTTATATCATAATTAATTGCAAAATTTTTTTAAAACATATAAATATTACAAATATTGTCTCCTATATATAGCTAATAGAAGAGAGAAATTCTAGAGAAGGAGGCTAATATATAGCCTCCTTCTGCTAGAATACATGCTTCACAACGACGAATTAAAGAGTTCTTCAGCCGAATTAAAAAGTCTGGTTGATTTCTTATTTCAGTGGCAGCCATTTGTATTCTCTTTAATAACTGTTCTCTTGTGTTAATTTCCACTTGATACACAATTTGTTTCATATGACCCCATAAGTAGAAATCCAATGGATTAAGGTCGGGGGATCTAGGTGGCCAAGCAAATGAGCAATCCACTAGTTTGGAAAATATCTATTGGTTTAACCACTCGACAACTACTCTTCCGCGATGAGATGGGGCACCATCGTGCTAATACCACATATTTTGAATTACATTAAGATATATATCTATAAGTAAATCAAAGTGTATTTTTCAAAAAAAATCTTTAATTTACAGCGTCCAAACTTCCATCAAGTACATGCAAACCTAGTAAATTGTTAATAGGATAAAAAATATTAAATCCACGATGATATTTTTATTTATCTAATTTCGGTACAACAATGTTTCGCTTTTTCTAAAAGTGTCTTCAGGTACGACTAGAATAATGTAAAAAATATAATTATTACTAGTTGACGGGTGTTTAAGTTGGTGATATAAAATATGAAAATACAGCTTCTTCGTCCTCTACATTAACTACATGCGGTCGAATAGCTTTTGCTGCAGGACGAGCTTTTTCTCGAAGTCTTCTGAAAGAATTGCTAAAAACTGAATAATATGGTAAATGACGCCGTGAAAATCTTTCTTGATATTCTGGTACTGATTGTCGAGCATTTCCATTGCAAAAACCATACACGAAAATTATACCAGCATACTCTTCAGTGCTATAAGCGTACATTTTGAGTTTCTTGTTGTATGTAATAATTAACATTCACGCAAACTGACATATTACAATGACAACTTTGTTTTTGTTGAATGTTTAATTTTACCGACTATTAATAAATTCGCTGCAGAAAACTTTAAGGTATTATAATTTCGTAAATAATTGAAATAGGACATATGTTCATCAACATTTTTTTTGGTAATTGGATTAGCTATCATATGTTAAAGTTTGATGGTGAGCTAATAAATCACCCCGTATTAACATTACTATTGGGTCTATCGCGTTGATTTCGGTTACATCCAGTTTTATTCAGTGGGCATTTTTATTCTTTCTTGAAGACTATGCACGGCATCTACTTCTTGGGCATCACTATGTCGCTGTTCGAAAAATGTTTGCCGTATCCATTCTGTTGGGGATGATTTCTCTGGGAAATACAGGAATCAGATCAAATGACCAGTTTTTTTTTAATTCCGGAAAATCTATAACAATTTGGTCCAAAATTTCCAGTAAACTACTTCAAATGTGATTTCCTGCTCTGTCGGATATCATTTCATTCCAAACAGCATTATTGGTTGTTTATTACACTTTTTTCACTAAATAGCACTAAGACACAATCATTTTCTCATACTGACAGGAGAGATCAGTAACTGATTGAAACTATTGTTTTGAATCAAGTTCTATAACACGTGATTGCGTGCTTTGTTATCATTGGCTGATCCTCCTACGTCAGCGTAAAACATTTCTAGCACCTAGCGCAGTATCATTTTTTAGCTTTTTCAATCTCATCCCCATGGTTTCCTGAATGCGACCACACATTCAATTTTTTATGTCTTTCTTCATCAAAGAGCTCATCATCACCTTCTGCTTCGAAGTCCAAGGAGTTACCGTCAACTAAGTATTGATCATTGTTCTTCACCTTCTTTCGATGGATCTAAGTATTCATCCATGCATTGTTTACTCAGCTGTTGGTTAGTCATTGTGGATCTAAATCACGATTTAGATCTGATTTCTTTGCTTCGTTGTATGTCTCTTAAAATGTAGTCGGTTATGGCTCTTATAGTTCTTATTTCAGTAGTCTTAATTTTTTCTTGCTCACTCGATTTTTTATGCCATTCATCAAATCATTGTTGTGTTAAAAAACAATAAGTAACCAGGAATTTGGTTATATCTTCGGTTTCATCCCACGACAATCAGAGTAGATAGTGTTGATGTGGATTGAAATATTGAATATTGAATGGGAATAAAAGGAAAGTAGAAAATGATGCAATTACATGATGATAAATACTTCTCTTTAATATTAAAAATATTTAAAACTTAGTACAAAATACAACTTTATCTTAAAATATTAAATTCATTACATTCCACCATAATTATTACAAAAATCCGGACACCTTGAAGTATCAAATTGGGATTCATAACATCCCGAACAAGGATATTGGGGCACCCCGCATCCAAAATAAGGCCAATTTCGTCCAAACGCGCACATCGGACGTTGTTGGGCCGAATAAAACACTTCATTTTGGCACCCTGAATTTATCCCCTCGTCGCATACTTCTTCCACGTACGGATGTATTACTTGATTTGATTGACAAACATTATTACAAACCCTTTGAGTTTGATAAAAACAATTTATGTAAGGTATTCTTTGTTGTGGCACGCATTGTCTTGGGGTTGCTATTGTACAACAAGGTGTTGAATCTGGTTGAGGGAAAGGAATCTGATAAGGTATCGAGTAAGGAAAAGAATTGGGATAAGAATTAGGATAAGGATTGGGCGTATTAGGCGTAAAATCCGGTTGATTTATAGTTTGTATAAATCTCTGATAATCACCACCATAATAAGTTCCATGATTACCACGTTGCGATGTTAGCACTGTAATGTTATTAAAAGATGTTGTGTTAACATCGACTGGGATATGAATTTCATTGGTGTTGTTGATTTCATTAAAAACTTCTAAAATCGTTTTGATGTGAGTTGTGGTGTTTTGTGAACTAGATTGATGTCCGGATTTTCCATCTACTTTATCTTCGCATGATTTTCTACAACTTCTCCTACAATCGCTGTTTGAACATGCGGAATGGCATGTTCTATAACAACAATAGTGAGTTTGGCAGGTTTGTTGGGTGTGGCAACAACTGTTACAGTTGTCACTACAACCACTATTAGAACATTGATTGCAGTCACAATTATCGCAGTTTGAAGAACAGCAATTATTACACGTTTCGGAACATCCACCATAAGAACATTCCTCACATTCGCATTGACTACAATCATTAGAACAATCCGTGTCTCTTTTTTGCCTTTTAACACAATCAATGTATGTCGTATAATCCGAAGGGTCGCATGCTTCTTTTAAGTTAGTTTTTGATTCTGTACAATCTAAATCATTTAATCTCCACGCGATTATCGGTGTTAATAGGAGCGTTAAGTAAATGTACTTCATCTGAATTGAAACGAAAATTAAAATAATTGATGATTAAGATTTTATTTCTTACCGTCAGGTTAAACTACACAAAATAAACTGAAACACTTAGATAATTCAATCTACAATATATATGCGATACGTTTAAAAAAATCATAATCTTCGCGAATGCACCAACCTTGATGCGGAATTTTATTTTACTCGCTCCAATTAAGTCGGCTAAGAAAACATATCATTCGGAAAATGTACCTGATAAGAAGTTGTAGGGAATTTAGAAAAATCGTTGGTTGCGTTTGTGGTTTACTTTCGTGATCTTATTTGACTCATTTAATCCTAAAAAAAATAAATAAATAAAAATTAAGTGAATAAGACAAAAATGAATAAATTAAATTTTAAATAAAATTTATTATTTTATTCATTAAATAATTAATGGCAGCATTAAATCTATAAAATTTGACCGATTTTCTTCCGAAAAAATCTTTCATATCTAATCGACACTGTGCGGCGTTATATGAAATCACTTATTCGTTTAAATTTAGAAATTAGGTTAATAATTTTATTGAAATTGAATTGATTAATTGTGAAGAAATTATGTTGTCGTTTCATTCTGTACTTTTTATGTTGCTCCTAACAAAGGATATTGGCAAAATTGTTGACATGGCATCGGATGACGACAATTGTTGCAATCTATAGAGTTATAAAAGAGAATTAAAAAAATTAATTTAAAGTAAGGGATTCTTATGGTTTACTTACAGACACTACAAGTTTTTGCACAAGACATGTGTTGTTGGCACCCACTGCAAACTAAGAATAATACAATTTATTATGTTTTAATTTGTAGAGATCATTTTGAAATGAGGTCATATCTTTACTGACTTTTTAAAATTAAATTCAAAATCAGTGATTCATTTAAATTTACGGCTGCAAATAGTTGTTGAAATTAATTTGAAAAGTTTTAAAGACTCGACGAAATTTTAATCTAAACAGAAGATCGTGATCATAGTATAAGGTCTGATATATCGACTAGGTATGAAATATTTATGCAAAAACTATGATATGGGTTATGAGCAGGTTACCATAATGTATATGGACATAAACGAATGCAATGTAACGAACCAGAAATATTTGTTATATTTTCAACCTACCAGGATATTGATGAGTCCATGAGGCCATTTACTCTAGGCAATATCAGTTTTACAAGACATGCATGGACTAAAAACAATATCATAATAATTAAAGAAGGTAGCTACATTGTGGAGGATGTAGCAAAATTGTAGTAAGAAAAATGCTGATTTGGACAAGTTTAGAGTAATGCTAGAAAACTCAATTTATTTAAATGCAAGATGATCTTGAGGCTTAAGCAAGCTAATGTTTGCCTTTTTCTCTACATCCAACGATGGCATTTTTAAAATGCATTTTACATTTTGATAAAGTAGTGTGTATTAACATCACTATTGGGTCTATCTCGTTGATTTCGGTTACATCCAGTTTTATTCAGTGGACATTTTTATTCTTTCTAGAAGACTGCACGGCATCTACATCTACTTTTTGTCGTATCCATTCTGTTTGTAGATGATTTTTGATGAAACACTGCAGTACAAGAGACAAAATGCTATTTCTACTTTGGAAATAGAAAGAAATAACCAGTTTTCTTTAATTCCGGAAAATCTATAACAATTTGGTCCAAAATTTCCAGTAAACCACTGCAAACTAAGAATAATAAAATTTATTATGTTTTAATTTCTGGCGACCATTTTGAAACGAGGTCATTTAAAGTTACAGCTGCAAATAGTAGTTGAGATTAATTTGAAAAAATTTAAAGACTCGACGAAATTGTAATCCAAAAAGAAGATCCTGATCGTAATATAAGGGCTGATATATCGACTAGCTATGAAATATTATTGCAAAACCCATTATGTGGGTTATGACCAGGCTACCGGAATATATTCTGCTTTTCAAAAGAAATGAACCACCCCGTAGGAGTAGACGAAGAACTTATTAAATTATGTAGAATCAGTTAGTCCATGTAGACCAGAGATGCACAGACCGCGGCCCGCGGGCCGCATGTGGCCCGCCGACAGCAAAAATAATATTCTCGTACATTCGAAAAATAATAAATATTAAAGTACTTTGTTTCTTTTGATATTGTGAGCGACGTCCATAAAACTGAGACGGGAGCTTATTGGTCAGCAAGCTATGTTTATAAAACCCATTCAAGATTCAGAAACAGCTACAGAAGTTAGTTATGAAATTTCTCGAATGATAGCAAAGCGAAGTCGCCCCTTCAATGATGGGGATTTTGTAAAAGAATGCATAGAAATTGCCGCTAAGAAAATGTGTCCAGAAGCAGCAAAAAAGTTTGAGAAAATTCAACTGAATCGTATGACTATCCAAAGACGAATTATGTCTTTGTCAGGTAATATTGCGGAACAATTAACTGAAAAAACTAAGATCATTGAATTTTTTTCATTAGCACTCGACGAATCCACTGATATTAGTTCCACAGCTCAACTTCTCATATTCATACGAGGTGTTACTCAAGATTTTGAAGTCTTAGAAGAGTTATTAGGAATGTGTTCATTGAAAGGTCAAACCAAAGGAGTTGATATACTCAATGTACTTTTGGATGAGTGTTCAAAAACTGATTTGGACTTATCAAAATTATCGGGAGTTGCGACTGACGGTGCTCCTTCGATGATTGGTGTCAATTCCGGGCTAGTTACTTTGCTGAAAAAGCATCTGCAAGAAAAAAACATAAACGCTGAAGATCTCATGCAGTTTCACTGCATTATACACCAAGAAGCCCTCTGTTCTAAAAAAATTGAATTTCAAAATGTCATGAAAGTGGTAGTTTCGACTGTAAATTTCATAAAATCACGAGGACTCAATCACAGGCAATTCAAACAATTCCTTGATGACATCGAAAGCGAATATGGAGATTTACTGTATTATACAGAAGTAAGGTGGCTAAGTCGTGGATTGACACTGGAACGATTTCTAAATTTAATAGAAGAAATTGGAATATTTCTGGCGGAAAAGCAAAAGGATGTCCCGGAACTTAACAATCCTGATTGGTTGTGTGATTTGGCTTTTTTAGTTGACATTACAAATCATTTGAATGTCTTGAACACACGGCTTCAAGGCAAAAATCAACTGATATCCCAGCTCTACGCTCATGTATCATCCTTTCAAAGCAAGCTGACACTTTTCAGATCGCAATTGAATTCTGGAAATTACAATCATTTTCCGAATTATAAGAAAATGGCTAAAAAATTCAACAAAACTGCGATTAATTTCAGTTATGTAGAAAAGCTAGATATTTTGATTCAATCTTTTCAAGACAGATTTTCGGAGTTTAAAAAAGTGAAACCTCTGTTGGACATATTCAGCAATCCTTTCACGATTTCAGTTGAAAATGCGCCAGAGTCAATGCAGTTAGAAATTATCGACATTCAAAACGACCAAGATTTACGCAACAAATTCAACGAAGGAGACTTGCAGAACTTTTACCGCTGCATTGATAAAAATATGTACAAAGAGTTGCGCATAAACGCTCTGAAATGTGCCAGCTTATTTGGTTCTACCTATATATGTGAACAAACTTTTTCAATACTAAATAATAATAAAACAAAAAATCGAAACCGCCTTGCAAATGATAGTTTGGAAGCAGTTTTACGTGTTGCTACAAGTAAATTTGAGCCAAATATAAAAAAGATTGTAAGCACTATGCAGTGCCACGCTTCAAATTAATAAATTCTTTTTCAATTTTAATACATTATTATCAATTCTTTATTGTCTTTAATTACCTATACTTCTGGCGGCCCGCCATCAGTTCATGATTTGCCCGAGTGGCCCCTAGTCTTAATAAGTCTGTGCATCGCTGATGTAGACAAACAAATGATTAAATTTTGACGGTCATCTGCCACAGCTGATAGAAATTATCTGTCTGTTAGGTCCTGAAATTGCGTGTTGTTGAATAGTAAAGTGTTGTTGAAAGTATTTTTCGGAATAGTTCGCCGTTTGTTTGTGATTGTTGTCATTGCATTAGTAAAGTAAGTGGCGATGAGGCTGTGATGAAAGTGGTGTGATGAATTATCGGGATGCATGAGGCTGGTTTAAGCTTTCGGGAAATTGGCGGACGCATGGGCCGACCTTACGCCACTATCAGACGGACTTGGATGGATTGGCAGAAAGAATGCTTAGAAACCCGTCGTAGAGGCAGTGAACGTCCTAGAATGACAGCAGCACGCGAAGATCGGCTGTTAAGGCGAAGTGCAATACAAGACCCAGTAGAACCAACGCGTGCTATTGCAATCAATTGGATACGAGTAATTGGTCGCAGAGTGTCTATGAGTACGATTTATCGTCGAGTACGCACATTTGGGTTACGTTCATATCGTCCTTATTTTCGTCTTCCTATGACTCAACAATATAAAGATGCCAGACTGCAGTGGAGCCAAAACCGACAACAGTGGGAACATGAATGGGAAACTATCGTCTTCAACGACGAATCCCCGATTTTGCTTATGGAATTCTGACGGATATTTACGGATCAGACGACCTAGAGATCAGAGGCAAAATTTACAGTTTGTTCAACGTTGCCACACGGCTCAAACTCCTGGTGTAATGCTGTGGGGAGCAATACGCTACGGTGGCAGGTCTCCTTTGACATTCATTTAGGACAGCCTAAACGCGCGCCGTTACATTGACGCCATTCTGGAGCCCGTGTTAGTGCCTTTCCTCCAAGACCTTCCAGAGGCCGTCTTCCAACACGATAATGCGCGACCTCATATTGCTCACGTAACGTTAGAGTTCCTAGCACAGAACAATGTTCTGCAATTTCCTTGGCCGGCAAGATCCCCGGACTTAAATCCTATTGAACATGTCTGGGATATGATGGACAGAAAATTGCGTCGATTACCCCATCCTCCCAACACTTTCGAGGAATTACGTCAACAGCTACAGGTAGCCTGGAATCAGCTGCCCCAAGAGGCAATCGACCACCTGATTTCCAGCATGCCACGAAGGGTTACTGAATGTATAAGAGTATGCTGAGATGTAACACATTATTAACGATATTGTCAATAAATATTGTCATTTGTTTATGAAAATTTAATCATTTGTTTGTCTCAAGGCACTAACTATTTCTACGTAATTTTGAAGTTCTGCGTCTCCTTCTTCGGGGTGGTTCATTTCTTTTGAAACCCAGTGTATATGGACATAAACGAATGCAATGTAATGAACCAGAAATATTTGTTATATTTTCAACCTAC